TTTTTTTCAGACCGAACTTTTCGTCAGAATTTGCTGAAATCCGCGAGCACAAAGGGAAAGAGAGAGTATCCGCCTGGACACGTGAATCTTTTGGTCAAGTTTCGCAAAAAAAAAGAAAAGTTCGAAGGAAGTACGAAGAGAATGGGAACAAACTCGTTGAAATTAGAACGTTCGTTACAGCGGGCGAAAGTCAACGTGAAATACGGAAGATTCCAATTTATCCGTAATTTGTGTTTGAATTGCATAGTTTTCGTAAGCAAATATCAACGTTTACTTGTGTACAAAATACGGTTTCTTTAGTGTATTGCTTGAATCTAAAATGGTACGCAGCACTAAATTCGCCGTTCAAAAAGACACTAATCTCATCTCTCAGTTTGCACAAAAACTGTATCTTTAGTAATTTCCGAGATATTTGACAAAACATGTTCCACGCCCCTTTGAGCTCGACAAAGGAGAAACACGTGTGGGATATTTTTTCGAGCCAAATTTCTCTGAAAAATCGGTGACTGACACTTGTGTGTGACAGTCTCTCGTCGGGATCTGCATGTAAAATCGGAGCGTCGAAGATGTCGGACACCGCGTGTACACGTTTATAGATGGGTAAGCGCGGTGCATGAGAGGCACAGAGAGAGAGAGAGAGAGAGAGAGACAGGGGAAGAGAGATGGGGAAGAAAAGTCCAATCGTCGGCGGGGCGTGACGAACCGATAAAACAGTCGCACCGGCGGCAGGAGTTTTCGACGTCGAAGCCCGCGACATCTGCGACCAAGAAATGGCTGGCAGCCGACGTCGTGTTCCCCGCCCGGCAAAGCGTAAAACGCTTGACAGTCGAATTAATTGAAAGTTTTAAGGTAATTGGAATCGATAACGCCGAGGTGAGTAAGAACTGGCACAGCGGCTACTCGGCCTCGATGGAGAGAGGGGCGCGGTGGTCGTTGAAGGGTTCACGAGGGTGTCTTCCGCCTGCGGGGGAATACCGGGGGAAAGAGCCTCGAGAGACAGTAGTGGCCTGACCGAGGGGAAACACCGAAACCGGTGAAACCTTCCTCCCGACCAACCACCCAGTGTCGTGGTTCCTCCTCTCGTAACAGTCCTCCTTCTCTCAAACAGCACCATCACACACAGATATTGTATATTCCGGCGAACGAGCACGATTATATATATATATATATATCTCCGAGGTCTCCTTTAATATCCTGCCGCCATCCAATCGGCCTAATTAGAATCGAAACGTATTCTCACGAATTTCACTGACGAATCGTAACGCGTTCCGCGCGGAGGGGGCCACGATTATAATACACACGGAATGCCTCGAGAGAAAGTATCACGCAGCGTCACGGCGAAAGAGCGAGAAAGAAGCGGTGGCTGTTTCGAATTCAATTTCCTAAGTACACCTCTCTCGATGGAAGTGTATTCTGAGACTGAAGTATATTCGCACGTTTCGCGCAGACACGCCGGCTCTAATTACCTTTGGGCGAGCGCGAAGAAACGTTAATATTATATCGCAAATTGATTTAAAAGCCCAAACGGAAAGGCGAATCGCGTGATACCCGGTATATGCAGGTGGCAGATTATCTACGAGTCCAGAGGGGATCGTTACTTACGCGCCATGAACCCCCTTTACGGCGATTCCCTCCGTGGCGTACGAAAGAATGGCCCCCGATTTTCGGCCACAATTTCCTTCCTTCCAGCGAATTAATCTAGC